TCATCCCCCAAAGAACACCTCTTGCCTGGACACCGTCAAAGCACTGACAACAATTCTTAACCACAACCAGCTCTGCCTCTAACCACGAAGTGATGCATGAGGAACAGCAGGTAAACCTAGCTCGTCCTCACCCTGTCCAGCACAATTGAAAACAAATTTGGAGTCAAACAAAAAGGACACGTAGCATACAAGAAAACAGCACAAGCCAACACAAGTATATTAAACTTCATAAGCAATATTTCCCACCCTCAACCCTCAACTAGATTTTTTATTGAAAACAACCAAGGTTAAAGTAGATGTCAATATATATATATATTTCAAACTATTTGTACTGTGATGCTTGTATTTGGCCTTGTTTTGTCTCATCTCTTATCTGCATCTTACAAATATCCTTTCTAATCCTGTAATAGCATATTTTACAATATCTGGTAGAGAAATTGGCGAATAGAACTTTTCCCTCTTAACCGAATTGAGAAACTACAATTTAACTAACAAAGATTCCTTTCTCCATTTCTTCTCTCCCTCTCTGACAAAGCACCACCTCCAACAAATTGCTCATAGAGACAAAATACCTCCTGTGTCTGTGCTCACCCAGATATAAAGGGGAACGAGGGAGGAAAACAATAATTTCCAGGCTTCTCTTCAGCCCAATTTACCTGTGCATTAGCTCTGCCAGGTGGCACGGGTGCATGCCCACTTGGAGCAGGTGGTAGGTTTAGCTCTTCTTCCAGATTAGGTTCCTTGTCGGGTTGAAGATACGCAGGCACCCCATCACTTTCAGTCTCCATTCCCATGTCTGCTTCCAGAGCATCGAGCTCTGCATGATAGATGGACAAAATGTTGTTTGTAACAATTCTCCCAATTACATATAACTTAAACTTCTGGTGCTTTTTCACTAAAAATCGCATAAAAAGTGAATTGTCAAGCCTATGAGCTCCATAGAGAAGTAACAAATCATAACCCAAAGTGGAACAGACAAGAAGGAAAAGAGGGAAAAGAAGAAACAGTTTTCGTTTCTTCTTTCCTGCTTGGGAATGAAGCCAGGGGAGCAAATCTTACCACCCATCAGTTCCTCCTCATCAATGTCATCAGGTACACTGTAGCTCCTACCAAGAGTCTCTTGAATCTCATTACTAACATCCATCAAGTCCATCATCTCATCTTGCAAGTTCTGCAGAAAAAGGATCATTAGAGATAAAAAGACTTGTTCCATTGATAACCGGAAAAAAAGGAAGAAAAACAAAAGAAAGAAAGAAAGAAGATTGCATAGTTATGAAACCAAAAAAAAGTAGTTAGTAAGTACGAACATCTATGTCTTGAATCTTCACTGTCTTCATCATCCCTTTCAATTCTTTGTTAGCTGACTTCAAAGCTGACATCTGCAACAATGAAAGAACATGGGTCATTGGTAGTTTAACTCCTTAAATTATTGGATTAAATGCCAAATATGCTCTTGAAATGACCCATCTCAAACTCAAACTGTACGTTGTGGGAAACATGTACAAGGAACTCTTGACCCAAGGAAAATCACATATTTAATATTAAAAAACCTCCTCCTCCACATAAATGGTTCCCCTACCTCTAAGGAGGTAGGCAGCAGGTGCCAATCAGGTTAGAAAACAAGCTCCATCTGACAAGTCTTGAACTCTGCCCGCTAGGGCGCTACCAAGAAAAAGACATGCTAACGTGAATTTAGTGCAGCTTAAAAGGAATGAACTTGATTAAACATGGAATAAATCTTTAATTTCTAATACAAACTATCACTAATCACAAACTTAATGTTAACGTGCTTGTAGGCTAACAAACATATCAAGTTGAATTTTACATTACCCTCTATCTTATGGTTGCAGGGATATAAAACTTCTCATTCATCACAATGAAGTGGCAGTTTTGTTTAACAATCACAAACAGAGACAAAAGAACAAGCTCATATATGTATCCTTTACGATGACATATGAATCCGCTCAATTTAGAACATCACAAAGTCAGAAACATGCTAGCCAACATGCACTCTATACAGCTGCCTAGAGCAACCTAGGATATGATCGACCCAATTTGGTTGAAAATGATAAAATAAAATCAAAGCTTCCTAAGACATACTGTTTGTTGAGCATCTTTAATTCCCTCAGCTGCAAAGGCAACTTGGTCAAGGTTAAAAGTCTGGTTATACAGCATATCTCGTTGACCTTCATACCTGTCAACAAAATGTCAATAGTTGCAGATGCATCACTTAACTATCATTTCAAGATATGCAGGCATATATAAGATGTGGAGAATAAAATGAGTTTAAGTCGCACAAACAACTGCAACAAAAAGTGCCCAAGGGTCCACTGACTGAGAATCTACTTCTTTTTAGACTTCATATGCATGCCTTATTAAAAGCTTTATTTTCTTTGCCACTTTTAATCAGTTAGAAAAATGATAAAGCATTTATATAGTAATGTAGCACTATGTCCTCTTAGAAATACATAACATGCATGTTGTTAAATCTTCAAAGTTTCTGTAAAATAAATACTACACAAACTTCTTCTTTAAACATTTAATAAGAGAAAGGTTTACTAAAACAGCTATACTGATGGTGCTATGTCCAAAAGAAGTTCATCCAGCTAATGACATTCTATATAACAGGAAAAAAGAAGAAGCAATCATCTTCAAACAGGTTTTAAACCAGAAAGTTTCAAGATTAGCTTATCTCAAACAGTTCAAACATGCTTCAGTGCAGAAAGGTCTTCCTGTTAAAAAATCGAAAAACAAGCACTAGAAGCTGCCTCTATGTTCTACAAAGGCAACACTTGCACTGCAGACTGAATGGCCCAGTTACTGATGACGAAGATTTTAACATGGAAAACACGAAAGCTTGTACGTATATTTCATTAAAACATAACAACTCTCCTAAGGTCTGATTATCCGTGAGAGACTAATGCATCGACACAGACACACCCCAGAAAAGCCTGTGATTTCTAATTCAAATTCTAATTGTTATTTAATTAAAAAGCCAAGAAGATCACTGACATTCTCTTCTGCTTAAGAACCCTCATTGCACGTGCTTTGATGGCTTCTTGAGCTGGACCAGGTCGAGTTTTCTTCAACTGCTCTCTATACCTTGCAAGTTCAGCATCAAGCTTCTTAATCTTATCCTCAACTGTGTCACCCCTTTTAGTTATCTGGAAAAAATATGCAAGTGCATATACAGTAAGTCGCCTCTGAGGACAAATAAGAAGCTATGACAAAAAGCCAGATAGCCACTAAAACATAAAATTGAACAAATGAAAGAACAAGGCTATTAAATGGCCCACTCATGAGAACCAACACAAGTTGTCAGAATATGTAGTTAATACACAACCCAACGCCAAAAATATAACTTAGCTATATTATAAAAAGCACTTGTGAGTTAACCTTTATTGTGTATATAAACAAATTGAGATGCAACTTCGGCTCCCGGTCATTCTTCATGTCTTTTAAGTTCATAATGTCAAAGACAAACATCCAGGGCGGATTCAAGATTGGCATCACAAAATTTTGGGGTTTAAATTGGCTAATATACGACAGATCTAACTATAAATAACTCTCAAAGCACAAGAATCCTATGAAAACAAAATATCAAGGTAGTGCATTCACATTCAGATTTCTTTAAGCTCTTCGTTTCCTTACTTCAATGGATTTACATCTTCTATCAATGCAGTCTGTTTATAGCATTCCAGAAAACTGAGAATTGAGAAAATCCTTAGAAAACACGGCCATCCAAATGTAATAGTAGATGAAAACATCCAACACACACTAGAATATCTATTAATGAAACTAACTACAGAATAGAATCGAACAACTATTCGAGAGTAGTTAACAATCATTGCACAATTCCATTTCGAATTAACAACAAATCTTCCACTTCAACCATGCTAAAATCGGCTAACAAGCAATTCGCGCCCCTAATTAAGTAAAATTGGATCGTAAAGAAAGAACAACAAAAGCTGCAACTCCTCTAACAAACAAATTGGAGAAATGCTGGTATATACGTAAACAAAACTTTGACTAAGGTGTAAAGAAACTTTAAATAGAAGAGAAGAAGAGGGTAAGGAGAAGAAAAGATACCCGATCGGAGGCGTCGTTGATGGAGGGTGGAGGTTCTTTGTCCTTCTTGACACCAAAGACTCTCTTCATCTTCCCCTGTGGCTCTCTGCAATTCCTTTCCGGTGAAACTTTTCTTACTTGCAGACAAAATTAGGGTTTTTTTTAAAAAAAAAAATTTGAGGCAATATCCGAATTCGAAGGAGAAGATCGAAGATGATACCCAAATTAAAAGCGTACAAGGAAGAGATAGAATGTTAAGTTAGATAAGCGGAGAGGGAAATTGAGGGGAATTTTGATTACGGCTTTTTACTATAACGACCTTTGGGAATTTTCTGTAGTATTTTCTTCGTCAATCCAAGGAAACGTACGTATCTAAAGACTTAACTCTTACGATTCGTTATGGAAGGAAGCAAATGGGAACTTCCAAGAAAATACACTACTGGTACTAATAGTATATACTAATAGTATAAATTTGACTCTACTGCCTTTGCAGATTGAAGCCATTGCCGGCCTCTGCATGTGCACAGCACGTGTCAATGTACACAACAATCCGCAGGTTGTACACCACACCGCATTCGGAAAGCAGCTTTAAATAGTACTCTCATGCACAAATTCCAGTTTTTTTTTTTTTTTTTGGAATTTCAAATCAAGTATTATACAGAATAAAAGGAGGAAAAAAAATAAATGTTTACATTCCATTATTCCAATATTACCATTACCATTTAATTTGCTAGAAAAGTTTCTTTTTTTCTTTTTTCCATAGCAAGTAGTTTAGGCTCCGCTTGGATTGCTATTTTCTAAAATTTTTGTAGAAAAATGCACTGTAATGATTTAATATAATTGAAAAATGTGTTTATGAAAAACGTAAAAATTTGTTTAGGGAAAATGGCTTTCTAATATACCACTTATGGCGTTTCTTGAGAGCTTATTGATCTAACTGGTTGCAGAATTGGAGAATTTGCCTTCTCCCAAAGCAATAATTATACAGTGAGCATTTTATAAACTTACAGATTGCACTTTGACAAATTCACGTGAACACAAAAGTAAGCATCCTAGTCAACATTGGAGCTTAGGCCTAGTTGTTTTCTCGTCTTCCCAACAAATAAGTCCCCAGATTTTATCAAGCCAGGCAGGCGCCCAACAATGGTTATACAAAAAATTTGAGCCACTGCTTCTCTTCTCCCCAGTGAAACGATTGCCAATGCTGATGAAGCAGGCTTATACGTTGCCAATCTCTTCTCGTTTTCTCCTTTTATCAACAGCTTCACATTCTTAGCAGCCACCAAAGCATGCTGTTCAGCCAGGTAGCCTTGTTTGAGTTCCTGAATGAAGATGCGGTTCGGTAAGGACATCTTGCTACAGGATAGGATAATGCTCGCAAACATATGTGCAAGAAAGATATTGCAAGTGATTTAAATGAGTCTACAAGTCAATTAGAGAGCATGACTACATCTTCTGTTGCATTTGATAACCGCAGTAGATGAAAAGAAATACTAAAGCCTTGATGGCAGGATAAGTTTCCCCAGAGCAAAGAAGCTCTTGTATTGTATGATTACTGTCAGTGGAAAATCAGTATCTAGAGTTAACTAGCTAGATGCAGTTCGATGGAAGTACTCAAATTGAAAATTTCCGTCATTCCTCGAGTAGAATCCATAAATGCTGACAAGGTGCTATTCTCAGGTCACCTTTTCTGGAATTCTTTGTTAACCCTAACGTGAAACCTACGACATTCCAAAGCCGATTCCAGTTTTCTTTTGAGAGATAAAGTAACCGTTGACACATGGTAATCTCTTCTTCTAAGCTTGTAGAAAGTGGGGACAGATGGGTTGTGGGCAGTTCTAGCCGCTGTTTCAAAAATCAATTTCAAGCAGAATTGAAACATCTATTTGTTACAACCAGAAAAAATAAATTTTGACAGAACTACGGCAATAGAGAGTAACCCCACGTCCACAAGAATAGTTTGTTTAAAGAGGTAGATATACTTACAGGAATATCAGTGACATCACCAATACCAAACACATTCTTGTGACCTTTGACTCTCAAATTTGCATCCACCATTAACTTTCCATGGACATCCACCCTGTCACCAAAAGTAGTCTTCTTTAGCCAGGATGAAGCAACTGGCTTGCCTATGCAGATAAAGTGGCAATCAGCCTCGATGGTTTCTCCGGCAGATGTTTGATAAACGCCATTTGAACTTTCATTCAAGTTAACTGACTGCCCCAGGATGACTTCAACATTCTTTGAGATCAACCAATCAAGTGCCTTTTTTCCTGCCCTTTCTCCAATAAACTCTAACAACCTAGATCCCCGATGAACCAGTGTCACCTTCTTATCAGGAAAATCCACAGCTATTTCACCAGCAAGTTCTACACCAGTTGGCCCCCCGCCAATTATCAATATTGAGTTTGCAGAACTTATCTTCTCATGTTCTGTAAGAAGAAAAAGTAAATTGATGACCAACCGGCAACTAAAACAGCAAGTTTCTTTAGAGTCACTGTAAACTTAACAAGCGATAGTATAGAAAAAGAAAAAAAGGAAAATTTTTAAACATTTAAATATTAGGTAATCGGCATTCAACAGTTAACTTACAGCAATTAATATCACTTTTCTGCTAGGAAAAAACAGCAGGCTTCAACAGTCTACTAATTCATGTCTATATTTAAGCCGTTTCCTAGTTTTCATCTGCATTCCTAAATTCAAAATTTGAAATAAGCATGCAGTCAATTTCTCTATGCTCCAATAGAGATAGGTCTTATTCCTTGAATACTATTAACATATGAAAGTCTAGGATTCAAAAACTAAACCAATCAACAGGCCTTGTCAGAATCATTAATCCAGTTCATATAGTGTCCTTTTCAGGAGCTAGAGGAAATGTATCTCAAGTACATCAAAGTATATATAATAAGATACAGAGAGTAGATGAATGTTAACATCAGAAGAAGCAAGCATCAGAATATCTTGTAGAAGATAAATGTAGGGCAATACAGAAAGTCAAGAATGTAAAAGAAACTATGAAACCAATTGCCTCAACCTCAATAACGTGTAGACCAGCATGCACGTTCTGATGGCTAAAAGACACTTTTAATCCTCAGTTTCTCATTTCGCACACGGGCAAGAGTTTTGACTGGTAAATAAAACTTGTAAGTTAGGTATCACCCAACCCAAGTAACACTAAGCCTTCCAGCAACTATAGGAGGACTGTAGTTATAGAAAGACAGAGAATGTAGCAATGGGAAAAAGCAAATGGATCAATCATTTAACTATGAAGTCTGAGACAATGCAAATGCTATACATTTAAGTCATCCATTGTTTTACCTGCTTGGTAGTAATTAAGCTTCTCAGCCTTTGTGCTGGGGCCATCACCCATGTGGCCTGTGGCAATTACAAGATAATCATAAGCTACCATGCGTCCTTCTGTGGTCAGGACTTCACTGTCTGTGAGATCAACTGCAGTGGTTGCGACGACGTGTGCTTTAGGCAGGTATTCTACATGATTAATTAACGATCTTCTCGCAAATGAAGGTTCAACCATTGATCTCAAGCTTGCCCAGGTGATTTCAAAATACTCTTTCCTGTTGATATTTTGCAGCTTTCATTAGTGAAGTTTCAATAAAGCAAATAGAACCAAAAGGAATTAAAATGGTTTTATCAAGGTAGAGGATGGATTGACAGCTGATCACTTCATGCTAGTCTCAAACTTGAGAGATGCGAGTTTTATGTATCTTAGATACCTATAAAGGTTGAATACTAGATTAATGTTGCAGTTCGTTTGCCCTACCCCTTTCCCTGTCTCCAGTACTGTCATAGCATCCTTAGTTTAGAAGATCAAAAATTCAGACACTTCGATGCCCTTGTAGACATGTAAAATGATTTGGCATTTAAGAAGTAGAGCCAGTTCACTACACATTCTGGAGTTAACATTGAGTAAAGACTACTAAATTAGAATGGAATTTGGTTATAGGGCTGAAACCAACATCTATTCAATAATATCTGAATATAAAAAGAAGATAGAAACTTTATTTGCTCATATATTTTTGGCAAATTGCTAATAAAAGTGACAACCAACTACAAATAGTAGGACTATGATCGTTGTAATTAAGCATTTGATCCCTGAATTTTCTAAGCCATACCTATCAAAGATAGATAGAACACTGAGAATAATTAGCCTCCGTTCCCAATCCTAAGCACAAAACCACCCAAATTAGATGGAGCCATATTTAGCACCTCCATTATCAAGATCAGTGTCTTAAGCTGTAAACATGCATAATTTGCATTTAGGAAATTAAACTCTGCTCTGAACCTGGTATTGGTGAACCTGACATTGCTCCTGAACATGGAGAGGATGTGCAGGAGAAATTGCATTTTTCAACCGAGAAGAAATTAACAAAACCACCTGACATTTCTCCAGAACTTAAGCAAATTATTTAAAAATGACTATACAATTCTTGTCAATTATAAAAAGTTTCCTTGCTTACCCTTAAATCACCTTCCAAATGAAATCAATTAGCGGTTCGTCCATGTCACTACAAAACAAAAGCTTCCTAGGCTTATTCCTTTGGAAAGTAAATTAAGCACTTAATGCAATACCACCCAAAGATGTAACTCGATTTGACTAATCAAACAGCATGCAGCAGATGCATATTACTGAAACATAATTAAAATCCAATAGAGGAAGTCCTCATAGAACAAAAGGAAATTACAATTAAAAAACACCATATTTCTACAAAAGAGGAGAAAAGTTAACAATTTTGCCTCATGCCCCGATCCAAAATTAAGTATCTACGAGGGAATGAGAGAGTGATGTCAGGTGTGGCTTACGTATCAATCAGGTAAACATCTGCATAGTTTTGAAGGGTCTTAGCTGCCAGAGAACCCGCAGCTCCGCCACCAATAACCACAACTCTCTTCTTCTCAACGGCCAAATCGTCCAGACCCATCTTCCAAAAATCGAATAAAAACCCCAAAATCAAGCAAATTGAACAACTGGGCTCTCACATCAGATATTAATACAGATATGTAACAGGGGTCTGGTGAGCGAAGGTGCCTAACAACCTGGCTTTTCCTCTAGGTAGAAGAAAGACATGAACTCAAAAGACAAAGAAATAGTGTCAAAGCTGGCAAAGAGATTCTATAAACTTATTCCGTTCATTCATATGAGCTGTTGAGTCATTTTCTATGATATGCTTATGAATTGTTGTCATGAGATACGCAGAGCTCAGGACAAAGCACAAAGGATAAGGCAGCAAAGGATCCAACGTTTCTACTACCGCCACCATAATCAAGAACTCGTTTCCCAAACAGGGACCGGTTGAGAAAAAAGAGCCATTTCGCCTATGAAAATGGGGACTGTAGCGGCGGGGTGTTTAATAATCCCCGCGTGGTACGTGTAAACTTTCATACACCTAGATTTTAATCCGTTACTTAAACGGTTAAACGGGACTCTACAGAATTTATTAAAAAGAAAAATTATAACTTGATTGATAAAAGGTTTAGAAAACTTTCATGCTTGTATCGTACAACATCTTATTAATTTATTAAAAATTTTAAAAATGAAACACAATAAATTGATTGATAAAAAGATTTAATAAACTTTCGTGCTAATACCGTACAATGTCTTATTATCAAAAGGAAATAAAAAAGAGTATTGTACAATGTCTTACACTCAACCAAGACACCTTCAATGCTTGTTTAATTTGTCTTTTCCATTTACCTCCACACCATAGACACCATCTTCTACTTATTTAATTTCTCACATCCATTTATCCCTAGATGTCTTTAATTAGGAGTGAGTAAGAAATCAATTAATTGAATTTCTGATCGAATTAAATTAAATTTGATTTATCTATTTCAAATTTAATCGAAACTTGATTTTGTTCTTTTTTTTCACGTGGTATCTTTACATTGAATGTTCTTAATTTGATATGCCTTAAGATTTATGTTCGATATGTTAGAACTTATTAGGAATGTATAAATACATATAGTATTTGATTTTACTCATTTAATATCTCATCAATTGTGAATAAAATATATTAAATGCCTTTCCAATAATTACAGAGCAAAAAGTTACATAGTTCATGATAATATATGAATTAATCTTGTACATACTGTCAGTATGCTAATTAGTCTTTACATTATTGATACGTGATACTTATTTGGAGTTTATGAATAATGACCCTAGCTAGGTTCGTCTAAATTAACTGACAGATCACATGATGCTATATACTCTTTAAATATTAACTACAAATCATTTTTCATGTTTTTATACCAAATATGAAATGGACGGAATTGCCAGACAGACATTTTCATTTTGTGTTTTTTAATTTCTGGTAAATAGATTTATGAGATGCACACCAACACCAACACTATTTTATGAAATAAATCAAAAAAAAAATTTTTTTTTTTGACTTCCATCTCCTGGCTTATAGAGCCTTGTCCAAGGATTCAATCGCAATACTAAGGTAGAGTTCGAACTAGCAACGTACCCTTGGGGACTTGAAACGAATCAAACTTGTATAATGAAGACCAAATATTTAAACTTGCATAATGAAGAATTGCACCAAATATATTTTTTCCTTCCAGGAAAGTAATTTTGTACACTATTTTAGAAGATCCGTACACAATTAGGAAGTGGACTTGCGGCCAAAAGCACATACACATTAGCCTTTCTAATGAATCCCTCCCCCAAATAATACCAAATTCTCAATAGTCTAACATTCCTAATAGTTAACTTAACAAAACCCTTCCTTCCCGAGTTACCATCTGAACACCAACACTAATCCGATTACATGTAGTAAAATAGACTACCAAATATTATTATTGTTGCTCTAAACCAAATCAAATTCGTACTATATATTATATATAATTAGACCAATCCCTTTCACAAAGCAATTCACGTCCTCCAGCTCCAAGAGCCAGTAGGATTTGATAATTCCTCCATGTCTCCTCCGCTAGCTGTTTCCGATAATCGGCGAGGCCGTGGAGGTGGAAGGCCTCCCAAGCCACCAGAAGAGGGTGACGTTCGTGAGATTGGGCCTCGTAGCGATAATGGTGTTTTGAAGAATAGAAAACCAATTTGGAGGAAGCCTAGGACTAAAGTTTCCACCAAACCCAATAAGAGATATTTTTCTTCGGGTTGCCTGCATCAATGTGGTCATCCTGTACCGGTTGATGGGGAAGAAATTAATGAAGGACAGGTGGTAATTAATCATCAATCTCCGGTGTCAAATTGTCCATGCTGTCAACCACTATCAGAAGTTGAAGTTCCCGGAGAAATTCCCAATCTTGATCTTTTATCAGATCGTCTTCTAGTGAACTTTTTCAGATATGTCCCTGATATTCCAGAGTTTTGTAAATCATGCAAGAAATAAAAACTAATCTCTCTCTCTCTCTTTTTTTTTGGGTCTCTTGATTTTCTTTGGTTGCAGCATCATCGTTTTTCCCCTTTTTTTTGTCTGGCAATAACAACAAAAAATTCGTCTTTAGCTTAGATGTCTACTTTTATAAATGTTGCATACACCAATAAACATCTGTTTGTGTTCCACAAGTCAACCGCAATTGGAAAAGGAAAAAGAAGCACAAGTTTATTTGCTCCATGCTACAAAACCTTTTTCACTAGAATTTCATTATTCGACTAGATTGGAGTCATTGGACAAAAGAATATAAATCAACGACATTTTCAATTACTCTAAATTAAGGAGGTATAACCTCCGTATCTTGTACTCTTTAAATTTTTTTTTAAATAAATAGGTTGGGTCTATGATTAAACGTCCCATTGTACCGCTTCTTTTTGAAAAACGGGTCAAATTAGAGTTCGCGCTCAACCTTCCACTATTTTTTAAAAAAAATTTTTAAAATCAAGTCCGTTTACGCCTAACCTCCCACCATTTCTCGGTGACTTATTCAAACACACACACACTAATCCCTTATATAAAAAGGTTATTAGCTACTTAGTTTAATTCCAATGCAATGCAAAATTTTCAAATTTGTGACTATCTATCTATATCTATATGTATTCAGGAAAGGATTTTTAGCAGAAACCCTCTCAATACCTTCTAAACTTGTCATACTTTTTTCTAGATTTTTGTATTTATTTTAATACATAAAAAAGTAGTGGGTTATAACCCACCTTATCACCAATCAATATTCCCACTATTCCACTATCACCAATCAATATTCCCACTATTCCACTATCACCTTATCACCAATCAATACTCTCACTATCTCACTCCCACCAACCCACTATCTTAATTCATATTTTTGTATTTATTTTAATACGTAAAAAAGTAGTGGGTTATAACCCACCCTATCACCAATCAATATTCCCACTATCCCATTATCACCTTATCACCAATCAATATTCCCACTATCTCACTTCCACTATCTCACTATCTTAACTCATCCTACAATTACTCCTACAAATTCTTCTTTTACTGATCGACTTAATTAACTTATCGAGTTAATTCCCTCACCCTCTCTCTCAGTTTCTTATTTGTTTTGGGTTCTCTATTGATTTTGTAAATGTATTGATTTTGTTTCTTTTGTGAACAGTAGTGGAAGATATTATGTGCAGAGACTCCAGCAGAAATCAACATTCTTGCGGCCGGCTTAATTTTCCAGGTCAGTCCCCTCTGCCTTTTAAGTATGTTTTGCTTTTGCTTTATTTTTTGTCATGAATGATATTGCATTGATTTTCTGATCATCAATTATTTCTGAAAATTTTTTACAAAATCTTATGAACGGTTGTTTGCTTATTGTTACACTGTAAAGCAAAGATAAAAAGGTATTGTTTGCTTATATAATTGCGGATGGTATAGGTTCATGATTAAGGGTTCTACTATTTCTAACATAAATTGTATATTATAAAATTTTATTTGTTTGTATTACTGAAATTTTTTAAATTATTTTTATTGCACATTTATCACATAAAATAAGTGTTACGATAGTTATTTTCATAATTTTATTCTAAAAATGATCGTGCATGAAATAAAAAAAAAAGATTTTTTGATAATTAAAAAAAATAATTAAAAATGGTTTATAATTGGAGAAAAACAATTCAGATACTACTAATAACTAAGGCACTATACATCCATTATTAAAATTGGATTAATTTTTAATTTCGTCAGAAATCCTTTTGGCAAAATTGCATTCTAGCCTTTATTTTCTTTATCAACAATGACAATTACAACTACGTGATTCATCTATCTAACAACAGTACAATTCAACTCATGGAATAAATAGTTCATTGCTTAAAGTACTTAAACGAAAGGTTAGAGCCAAGTCCTACTTAACACTTGCAAGTAATATATTACAATTAGAAAAAAGAAAATGATTCAAGAGGAGCAAAAAACTCACCAAGCCCCTGACATATGTGCAATCGTCAAGGCACTTTTGAGCATTTAAAACTGTATTCCTTAGTTCAGGTAACCACTTCTCTGTAATTGTTTTCATTTGATTACAATGCAATTCTATTAAATTATATTGATGCTATTTCTAGATTAATTATTGTATTTTTTTGGTTAACAGTTCTCATGCAATGTATCACTATTTACACATAAAATAAATACATAAACTATTGATTTTTAATTTAATATATATTTTATTTCTATATCAAAGAAATGAAAAATCTAACTGTTCTCAAGATCGCCAGGCATCCACATCACCAATGATTTTGTGTGATCATGGTAAATATACAGTTTCTTATATCGTTATACTCATCTTACATATTCACTTTTTGGCTGCACTATCTTGCTAAATCAACTATAGATACAATACAATACAATTGTATTACAATTGTTCGATTACAATACAATTGTATTACATTCTATTGATGCTATTTATAGACAACTTAGCAATTTTATAGATTAGCAATTTATTTTATTTTATACCCTACCAATTATTACATGTACCAAAATATTTTTATATAGGGATTGCTTCATTAACTATGGGTGCTAATAACAATTCAATTGGTGCGTATTTTTCATTTGATTACAACACAATTACATTAAATTATATTGATGTTATTCTATATTAACTATTGTATTTTTTTGTTAACAATTCTCATACAATGATAAAAAAAATTCTCATACAATCGAAAAAAGACCGTTCTTGAATGATATATACATTCTATTATATTTCAAACTATTGTTAAACAGATATTATATTTTAATTTTATTGGTAAAATTTTTTCACCTTTATTTGTTCACCATTTTATTTTTTTTTTCAATAATATCAGCACCGTGCATAGCACGGGTATTCCCACTAGTTGGAGAAGTATTTTGGCAGGGTTAATTAAGTTTCCAATGTGAGAAAAGCCTTCTTAAATTGTATTACTAGTAATAACAGAGTATTCTGCACAAATTGAAGTTGTAATTGGACATACAAATTACATCGAATCGTAATAAGAGTTTTAAACAGTCAGTGCATTAATATCTGTGGCAATGGATTTATTTTAACAATTGGCTATACTTCGATTCTTCATAAATTTGACCGTCAAAAGATAAATCCATCACCGACGACATTTATTTAGTTGTAGTAGATTTATTTACCTACTGATCGCGGATAAATTCTGTTGTAATACATTTATTGGTTTTCTCTCTTTTTTTTTTTTTTTTTTTTTGGTGGTTGAAGAGGAGAACCTTATAAGAGAAAATGGACGAACTTAATTATTGAATTAAAGATCTCACAATTACCTGGTTAATGTTGCTTTCGATTAAGCTAAGGGTCTGTTTGATAACATACAAAAGTGCCGAAACTGAATCTTTTCAGACATTCAGATGTTTTGAGTGTTTGATAAATGAAAATCCATCTGCTGAATTTGTTAAACAGTACTGAACTTGTGTGTATTTTTTTCAGCACAAAAATCCTAACTGAATGCTTAATTCTGATAAGAATCAATAGAATTATTTCAACTACTTTATCTTATATACCAAATCTACTATTGTTTGTTAATTATGTTCAAAATTCTTATCTAATTAAACAACCTGATATTCTCTATCTGACGATTTTCTGTTTCTCTTTTCTTTCTTTTTAATGACTTTTACAGCTTTTTCATATTTATCATATAATATATTTCATCTTTTATATTAATTTGATTTAAAAATAAATATTGTCATTTTCATACCTAATAATTTTAACTTAATTAAATCATAGGTTCTATTTCTTTTTTGAATGAAAAGATATAAGGGCTAAATTGTCAAATTAAACTTATTAAGCATTCAATTATAAATATTTATCAAACAGTATAAATAAGTTTAGCATTAAAATTCAGGCATTCATATTTTTTTTTCAGTGCTTAAAATTCAGCAAATTAATTGTTTCAGTATTCAGATTTCAGAATTTAGACTTCAGAATTTAGATTCAGTTTTATCAAACGGAACTTAAGTCTTGACCATTATTAATATATAACTATCATGAGTTTAACCTGTTCGACCCGCCAATAGATATAACTGATTTTATATGATTCGGGTCTTCATCAATGCTAAGATTGACTTGAAAATGGGCCCGGTTTGGAAGGGGCTAGGCTCAGCCATTTTGCGTTAATGAACAAATGGTTCTGTCGTATTACATCAATTACACTAATCTATTCATGTTGAAATAAAATTCTTAGAGATTTTTTTTTTTTAAAAAAGAAAATTTCAAGTTTCACATAGCTCAATGCAAAATGCAAAAATAATGAGTTCGCGTAGCTAAATATGCAAAATGCAATCTACGCATAGTGGAGGGGTGCAAAATGCAATTAATCTAAAAGTTTACTACAAATAAAAATCCTTTTTTTTGATTGCCGAAATAGAAATCTGACCACATTTGTGTAAATAAATTACTGCAGAAACAAAACTATTGAAAGCCCGACTTCGTCACTTGTCCCTTCCGATCCATTCCAATTGAATAGTTTCCGTTTGGGAAGATTTAGCAGGAAAAAGGGCCTTATCTTTGTATAGAATGGCAGCAAGAAAAGTGCCGCGAGAAGAGAACACTACACGTAGTCCATAAACCACGCGTATCATGCACGTCGCTGCACAGGTGTACCAAAAATAAGAACACCTGGTTGAAGCCCATGCGAACAGCGAATAGCAGTAAACTCACCGACTACATCGCTAAGAATCAGAGAGAACAAAGCCACCGCGCGGACAGCAGCGAATCGAAGGCCATGCAGACAGCTGATAGCAGCAAACTCACCGCCCATAATAAAGCCACGCAGACAGCAGCGAATTTCCAAGGCCATGCAGACAGCTGATAACAGCAAACTCACCGTCCACAACCAAGCCACGCGGATAGCAGCGAATTTCCAGCAAAGCCACTACAACTGAATGGCAAAAGACCAAACCGTCCCTCAAAGTCACAACAATCGCACTATAACCAGCCCATTTACACTGTAGCAATCCGAACTCCCACCTTTAGTATAGTAAAGATTCCCCCCACAAAACGGCAAGATTTTATAAATACTACTCCATTCGTCTCACTTTGATAGTCCTGATTTTTTTTTTACACAGTTTAAGAAAAAGTAGTTAACTTTGTTGGAACAACCAATTTAGGTAACTATTTTCCTAAAATACCCTCATATTAATTAGAGTACAATTTTATGCGAACTTGAATTGATGGTAAAAAAAGAATAAACTCTTATTAAATGGAGTAAGTTTATAGTAACAACAATTTACATTGAATAAGGATATTTTAGAAAAATCAAAATACAATTACATTCTTCAATTGGAAAGTGGATTATAATTTGAAACAGACGAAAAAGAAAATAAGACTATCAAAATGGGACGGAGGGAGTAGTAATTAATCAGTTACTCCTACAACATTGAGCAAGTTCCAGACTTTGCATGAATCCAGCGTAAGAGGAAAATGACCTCATTTCGGTGCCCTTACCAATTTTTCCAGATGATGGGACCGCACTACCAACATACAAATATTAGAATCAAATCTTTGCTTCTTTCAAACGTGGCCACAAGTCTAAGTTGGGGGAATGCCCACAGGAATGAGCGTTACTGTGGACAATGGAATCTAAGGAAGGTTGGAAATTGGAATATATGTGAATGCGAGTGCAAATAAGGCCTTGCTTGGATTGCTTGTTTCCGTCGGAAAATATTATCGTTTTCCGTGATCACATTTCCCTATCACCTTTTTTCCTCACATATATCAAATCGCTACAGTAATTTTTCCATGAAAAATGACGGAAAATGCAATCCAAACATTCTTTTTTCTGTTCGGGTGACGTGGCTTCACAATCTTAGGTTGATGTCCTGCGAACTTTCCTAGTCCTGGTGCCTCTCAAGTCTCATCTAGGCAACAACACTAAAGCATTCGTCAAAACAAGTTAGGTGAATTGATAAGAACAAAAGTATTTCTTCACAAAAAATTGTAGTTCAAATTTCTTGTCAATATGAAAATTGTATTAGTGGGCTATTTATCAGAAATTCTGCAAGCAATCTGTGGTCTCTGGGCTTCTTCAAGCAACTTATGGTTTTAGAACCTTATTTTGACCTGTAGTAGTAATTAGAGTCGAATTTATCCAAATATTTTCATATAGAAAAATTTTTGTATAAATTTTTTCTAATATGGTAGAATTTCAGATGCGAGGAGAAAGAAAGAGATGAAAACCCAAGATCTCTCAATCCTAATGCCTGACCAAAATGTTCTACATAAACATACATGGAATCAAATATTTTGGTCTTGTGTATAGTTTTGAGAAAAAAAAAAAAGTGATCCCTCGTATGTATCTGTTATTTGAAGTCTTAATTTTCTTTCAGATAGCCTATGAGAATTTTTTTTTATACTAACTGACATGAGTGCATAACCATTAATCTCCAACAAAATTTTTAATTATTAATTTTTTGTTTACATGTAATATGCGTTTATTATAGAAAAAACTTATATTCACATTATAGAAAAAAGTTTTTTTTTTTTTATCTAAAAACCCTTAAAATGTACTGCAACTAATACAAAACTAGTTTTCAATTTCAGTCGTAGTAAATATAGTATTTGGTTTTAAAAAAATTGTGTATTCAACATTAGTTTTTTCATTGAAACTATTTTTAGATATTCTATTGATATATTTAATTATTTTTTATCTTATCCATATCATATTATTAAAATATATATCCTCCATAATTGCAATCCAAACAGAATCTTGCCTATATGTAGTACGCACATGAAGCCTACGCAAAGGCCACTCCACCACTCCTAACTGCAGAGGGTAAGTAACGCTTCCACCAAAACAGAGGACGAATCTGCAGCGTAGCATGGCAGAAGGGGCGGTTGTTGAAGGGCTGAAGCTAGAGCAGCGCTACGGCAAGGAAAGAGTGAGAGTTGGGAGAGTGTGGAGAGATGTTGACGGCACCCATCATTTTGTCGAGTGGAACGTCAGCATCCGCCTCCTCTCCGATTGTATCCCTGCATATGTCACCGGCGACAATTCTAACATCGTCGCCACCGATACCATGAAAAACACCGTATGAAAGTCAAAAAACTTAATTTTTTGAGACGGTATTTCAATCATCTCTCTGTGGTATTCATGGACCATTTGAAACAGGTGTATGTTAAAGCTAAGGAATGTTCTGAACGGATCCCAGTGGAGGTTTTTGCTATTAAACTTGCCAACCACTTCTCTACTTTCTACGACCCGGTAATTTCATACTATCAAATCTATCAATTTTGATCTTTCATACAATTATCCGATTATGATATTATATGAATCTTGTATCTTAAATTGTTATAGTTAAAAAATTCAGTTTTGATGTTTATAGCTCTGCCCTGCACTTTTTTATGGTCACCATGCCATATGATGCATCTTTAATAAAACAGTTCATCTTTTGCTTATTTGCTATGGATCCAAAGAACTATTAAAGGTTTTCACTTTTATATGCATTTTCTGGAACATTAAGCAATATGATCTGCTTCGGTTTCTTCCTCTCCAGAAGGGCTATAAATTTGTTAAGCAAAAAAAAATTTTTTTGGGGGAGGTGGGGTTTATGGGTGAGAACAAATTTAGTGCGTTGACCAAGCTGCTTAACTGACAGGAATTTGCGTAGTAGTTCTGACATCCATTTCTGCTTCCAATCTTCCAATGTAGGTCACCACTGCAATTGTCAATATTGCGGAAAAGCAATGGGAGCGTGTCTCTGTAGATGGTCAATCCCATAAACATGGTAAGTTTTTTGAATCAATTAAAAGAACACACGAAGCAGTTGAGGATTTTTTTTTTCCGGGTTAATTACAATTCTGCTTGTTTCTGAACTTACCAATTAGCTATTCCTTGACCTGTTCTAACTTGGAAGTGCTGCAAGGCTTAATACTTATGTTTGTGTGTTCAACTTCTCCTTTGCATCATATTCTTTTTCTGGTTTCCTGCATTATATATCAAAATCTTGCTACATCAGAAGCAGATTACCCGATCTGGTGTTCCTATCTGATGCCATGCTTAAAAAATTACACGTTTTGGTACTCACTTGATGACTAATTGAATTACTTAAGACATGATGATCAAACTGCAACATCTACTAATTCTTGGCTCATTTGAGGATGCTATTCAACAGTTTTGTACTGTTGCAATAACTGCTTTATGTATTGACTATTTCTTTTTCAAGCTTTAGCCTATTGTCATATTTTTGGAGCTGAGATCTAAGTTTGGTACTATTTGCTTAATCTCAGAGTCTGTGTTGGTGAGTAATAGCAAGCGTACAGTTGCTTTAATTCTTCCCACACAAACTATGGTTATTGATAGACTTATTAGCATAAATGATGTCAATCTTTGTGCACATATACACAAACAACTGTGAAAATGATGTATGAATTTCCTATCATGTGCTGTAAAATCTACTTATCCTTCCCTGGTGAGAGCTCAAGCTACAGTTTGCTTTCAAAATTTAGCTTTCATTTCATCATCATAACAAAATTGAATTTGCATTTACTGCAAATAAAAATTTTCATTGCTACTTCTTTGCCGATAGGTTTTAAGTTTGGATCTGAGGAGCATACGACAGAAGTTGTAGTAAAGAAATGCGGAGCTTTGCAGGTGACTTCTGGTATTGGAAAACTGAAATTGCTTAAGACAACTCAAGTAAGTCATTCATGGAATCAATCTATTTGTTGCTGTATGTCTGTTCTATCTGTGTTCTGTCATCTTCTAATTAGCAACATATTTGGTTTTGACAAGCATCATTATCTGAAACACCTTGAAATTGGAAGAAAGTGTTTCCTTACAGAATTTTTCTTCTGGTTGTGCTTAGAGTTTTTCCTTTACTCTCCTTTTGCGAGTCAAATTGCCTTGCTTATTCAGTAGAGAATGACTAAGGTCAGTGAGGCTGATGATAGATGTTTCAAACCTGTCTTGGTCACTTCCACATGTCCCTAGTGTGCATTGTTGGACAACAAAGCATAATATTATTTTTTCAAACTTATAGGAAATAGAAATTCCTTTTCATGCTACAAAAAAGGAAAAATGCAAAGTGAACTTCTTGATTTTTTTTATTCAGAAATCTGATTTCGAATAAAAGCAGCCAGTTGTACAATAAAATGTAGCACATGCACAACATGCTTCTCATTTGCCTTCTTAACAGTCAGGCTTTGAAGGATTTATAAGGGACAAATACACGATGCTGCCAGATACACGGGAGAGATTATTGGGAACTGAGGTCACTGCATCATGGAGGTACAACATTCCCTTTTACCTTAAAAAATGTGACACTAGGAATTATGTGAACTGTCCAATTTCTGGGTATTATGCAATCCCTAAGATTCTCATCTCTTTCTGTTTTACAGAGTTTGGTACTTAAATTCTGCATAATAATGCTACTTAAAGGTCCTGAAATACATTGCTTTGTGCAGATATGCTTTCGATTCTCTTGAAAATATCCCTGTGCAGCCACTTTACTTTTTCAATAGCTATACTGGTGTGAAAAAGGTTTTGGTCGACACTTTCTTTGGCACTCCAAAAATGGGAGTATACAGTCCATCTGTTCAGTACACTCTATACAAGATGGCAAAGGCTGTTCTGGGAAGGTTCTCTCTCTCTCTCTCTATCTCTCTCTCTATGTGTGTGTGTGTGTGTCTGGGTGAATGGGCGGGTGTCTCCACCTTGAGACAAAATCTTCCACTCGTATTTGGCATGACACTTGCCTGTACATGCTATTATTGGAGTTGAGTGACACTTGATTTTCATGATCTCAGGTTTCATGATTTATCATCAGTTGACTTGAAGATGCCAAACATTCATTTCCTACCAGTTAACCTGTCGAGCAAAGATAATCCAGTCATTGTCAAAGTAAGATCACTGACTTTCTATGCTGATTGGGATAACTATTGTCAGACATGCACTTGGGAGTACATAGTTCATGTGATAAAGCAAATTAACAAAATTGCAGGCTTGTGAAGAGACTGAGCAACTAGTCTTGGACAGTAGTTGTGAAAAGCAGTCATAAGTTGCATAGGAGGTCATGTTTTATGAATCTTATACTAAAATGCATCTTGATCTTTGGCTGAAGTCCGACTTTTAACTTCAGTGCTTCCTCTGAACTTTGTAACACTGCAGTGGCAGTCTGGATGAGACGATAGAAATGAGAAATTCTGTTGAGAACTGATAGTATGCACGCTAGATTCATCTACAGATATGCTAAGCTGTAACTGCTGTCTGTAATTGACTTTTGCAGTTTGAAGATGATGTATATTTACCAACTGATGAACCACATGGAGCAATTGAAGCGAGTCTAAGCCGCATTCGTTCGAAGATGTAAAAGTTTCTTTAGAAGTGACTGATGAAGCCATACATTTTCCTTGATCCAGTTGCTTTATCCTTAATGTGTAGTGCCTGGGGAAAAGTTTTCCCTCCGTTGCTGAGGACTTGTGCTTGTAGATATGGTTATTCTGTCTGTTGTACATGAACTCCACGAGGATGCTTTCATTAGTCATCCAATTGTACATGACTCTAATAATCATCACCGGAAAAAGCTCTCTAATAACGATTATGTAAATGTGTGTCTCAGCTTTTAGTACTTGGTCAGCAATGGTACAAAGAACAGTTTGTAACCTCAGCATCCCGACTCACAGCAGAAGTATTGGATACAAAACTTATCCCAAATAATATTTCGTTTGCATCATAAACACATTTTCCAATCCACTTTTTTATATTCCCAACTACTTTTTTATCTCACATACATCACATCATAAAAAGAACGGATTTTTCAACTATTGGCTATATTCGCATGCTTCCTTCAGGTTATAATACTAACTTCAATGTCTTTGTTCCTTATGACTGGGCACTAAGCATTCAATCTCCTCTTAATCAGTTTTTCAACCGAGAGGAGTGAATGGTTGCTTGCTTGCTTTTTCACCAAATGTAAATGCTCCAGTAACTTTTCATGTCATGGAATCAGGATAATCAAGCCAACCAAAAGCCGGTAAAAATGTTCCACGCTTTTTGTGACTTCTTTTCGCTTTAAAAGAAAAAGGAAAAGGAAAATAAAGTTTAATTGCTTTTCTGACGACCTCATAGGGATCCTCCATTAAGTGTTTTTCTTCATTGCCAGTGAAATGCTTGAAGAAGGAATTTGTTTTCTTCTGCAATAGTTTTAGCCCAGGACTCACTTCCTCCAACAACTCGCCCCCTAGCTAAGGCTGCAGCACTTTCAAATTCGATCAAGGGGTCTCTCTTGCCTCGCCGAAGGAAGAGCACCTGTTAAGTCGGTAAACCCCCTCTAATTATCTATGTTTTGCTAGTTAATTCCTTAAATTGGATTTTATGAACTAGATTCTTCGTTTTCTTTTCAACATTTTTTGAACTTGGCTTTTATTATCCATTCTCCGGGAAATCAGATTATGAATTCAGGGGCAAACCAAGAATCCCATCAATCAAGAACTCAAGCCCCCCAAGCTCACTCCTTTATCTTTAAACAGAAACTCTTTTATCTACTATCAGTCTTGGTGCTCTTTGTGGCAATTTCTTTGAGTATCCCCAAAACGAACCACTACAAATCGCACCAACTAAAATCAACCCTCACATCACACCCCAATTTCCTAAACAAACTCCTAAGATCCCTCCACCCAATTGCAAACCAAAATGCCCCAAATCCCTCGAGCATTAGTCTCACTTCCCCTTACTGTCTGCTGTGGATGGCACCTTTCCTTTCAGGAGGTGGGTACAGCTCTGAAGCTTGGTCTTACATTTTATCCTTAAATAATTACATGAAAAAGAATGAACCCCCGAGATTTAAATTTAGATTGAGCATTGAGCAGCACGGTGATTTAGAAAATCTTGAATTTTGGGAGGGTTTACCGTTCGGAATGAGGAACTTGGCTATTGAGCTTTATCAAAGTAAGTGTAGATGGAATGAGACTATTGTAATTTGTCATAGTGAGCCAGGTGCTTGGTATCCTCCACTGTTTCAGACCCTTCCATGCCCACCAACCGGTTTTGGTGATGTTAAGGTTGTGATTGGGAGGACTATGTTTGAGACTGATAGGGTGAACGCTGAGCATGTTAAGAGGTGTAATCAGATGGATTATGTCTGGGTTCCTACTGAATTTCATGTAAGGAGTTTTGTGCAAAGTGGGTTTGATCCATCGAAGGTTGTCAAGATTGTTCAACCTGTTGATTTGGAGTTTTTTGATCCAGTAAAGCACGAGCCTTTGGAACTTGCCTCAATAAGGTCTTTGGTGTTAGGGTCAGAGACTAAGAACTTGAGTATGGGGAGAAATTTTGTGTTCTTGAGTGTTTTCAAATGGGAGTATAGAAAAGGGTGGGATGTGTTATTGAGGTCTTACTTGAAGGAATTTTCAAATGCTGATGATGTTGCTTTGTATTTGTTAACGAATCCTTACCATTCTGATAGAGATTTTGGTAATAAGATTGTTGAATATGTAGAGGACTCAGACTTGGAAAAACCTGTTAATGGTTGGGCTCCAGTTTACGTCGTTGATGCACATATAGCTCAGGTCGATTTGCCAAGACTCTACAAGGCAGCTGATGCATTTGTTCTGCCATCGAGAGGAGAAGGCTGGGGTAGGCCTGTAGTGGAGGCCATGGCTATGTCATTACCAGTGATTGCTACAAACTGGTCGGGGCCAACTGAGTACTTGACAGAGGATAATAGTTACCCATTACCTGTGGAACGAATGAGTGAAGTGAAAGAAGGCCCATTTAAAGGCCATTTATGGGCTGAGCCCTCTGTTCAGCTGCTGCAAGTTCTGATGAGGCATGTAATTACCAACCCTGAAAAAGCTAAAGCCAAAGGAATGCAGGCAAGGGAAGACATGATCAGTAGATTCTCCCCTGATATTGTTGCCCGGATTGTTACTGAAAGCATACAGCAGATTGTTGATAACGTGTCCTAGAGTTTTGACAACATATTGTACAATTATTTAGTTCTCTTTGCCCAATATTATGCAGATGATTGGTTCTGTTGCTGACTGAGTACATGTTGAACATTGATCTTCTTAAGCTGCTGGAGAGTTACTCAAACATGTAGGTGAGTTTCTAGATAGACATTTAGTTTATTTTTTGTATTGCGAAAATACGCCTTCAGAGGATTCAAAATCCGTCTAGTATGCAAAGAATGCTTATCAAATGATGAAACCACTTACTGCATTACTGCTAAAAGTTTAGTATTTTTGAAATTTATGAATAGCCAAATGAGTTCCTTCTCTCTTCTTCCTGTTAACTTTTTTTGTGGTTTTGGGTTTTTGTTTTTTTTGGGGGGGGGGGGGGGGGGGAGTAAGGGTGGGAGGTGGTTTCCTGGAGCATGTTTTGGTGACAATATGCAATTATTTTTATACTTTTGTATTTTGGTTTTACCTTTCAACATGTAACTATCTACTCCTTGTTCTTTTAGGTTTTTTCCTTGTTCTTCTCAAATTTTTTATTAATATTTTGCTTCAAGTGATGACACTCTTGCTAACCCGTGATTTAAGATATCTATTGTCAGCCAGTTTGATGCTGGCTGGGGAAAAACATCAGCAGAGTCTAAAACAAAGTTGTTGTATGATTGAGGAAAGAAAATATTTGTAGTGTATCAAGAAGGTAGACAGACGAAATTAGTTTCTATCACTAAAATAGTTGTATACCAGCAGCATAGTATGCTGGTTTAAATGTACGCTACAAGTAGCTCAGGACCAATTAAAGTTCTTGTACAATGTAACTCTAACCAAGATCAAAGATATGATGGTCTAAGCCTTCATTACTCCAATGAGCTTCCTCTAGCATATTCTGCATTGCATCATATGAAAATAGAGGTTGGCAAACATGAGAAGCATGAATCGTTAAATCTCATGCACATTCATTTGTTCTTTTCGAGCCACTCAAGTATGCCCTTCTCTGATTCAGAAAGCTGTTCTTTCTTCTGCTTCAGAGTCCCTTCCAGCAAGCCAAAGTAATCTTTGTAGTTGCGCTTGTAGTAACTATCCAATCTCTTAGACAAGAACATAAGAAACGTGGGATTAAGAAAATTCTACCAGAAACAAGGATAGACTAATTTTGTCAAATTGAGATATCCAATTCTGCTATTGAAGAAAATGTACCTCTTTGTCATTTTTGGTCTTGTTTTCTTCGGATTTCTTCAAATATTCTGAGGGAAAAAAATTGTAGCAAATAAGCTCTTAAAAAAGCTTCATTTAATCAAATAATGATCTACATGAGTAAATAGCTTGTTGGTATGGGAAAAAAGTACCAACAAAAATGGTCTGCAACATAGAATTATTTTTTCCCATACCAACATAGAATTATTTTTTGCCCCATACTTTTAAGCAGGTCGGTCCTGGAATCAGTTACTTGAGCAACTGTCGCTGCAGCAGAAAAAAGCAGCTCTCTTCTTCCCTTGTCTTTTGCTCTGTTTATGTTCCCTTTTCTTTCCCTGGTTTCACCTCCTTGTATATTAGATAAAGCTGAAATGCTAACTGTAGCAGATGTAGCCATGAGGAGCTTTACTATTTCTTTTAGTTGCTGATTTTACATGCTTTTTTGCTTCCTTTACGAATCAATCACAACCACAGTTGCCTGATCTTTTATAGGAGATGATGGCAGTATGTTTTTTGGTAGTCTTATCATTCAGCCTCTCTCAAGTTGTTATCAGGACATATATGATGTGACGGAATTTGCTAACACCAGGATGTGTTTTTCCAAGGGCACCCCGCCTTCAGATTTCCTTCTTTGCTTGACTAGGAGACTAGATGTAAGTGGTAGACTTTAGCTCTGTGATATTTTGTGGTCCTGCATTTTATCTTCTTAAAGAATTAGTACTAAAATGAACCAAGAAAAAAGATTTTTCCCCTTTTTTGTTGATCATTGGATATTCCCTTTTTCACCACAAGTCGCAATATTGTTCTACCCGACCAAATTTTCTATTGTTGCATCAAAGGGAAAGATAATGTTAGGCTGTTTCCACCAATTAGGAAATTGAGATTATTTTGATGATATGAATACCGGCAGTCCTTGTGGAGAAGACTGCATATGTTTTTACCGAAAACGCAACCAACCCAACTGAACAAAGGGAAGCAAAAGAACGGGCAGAAAATATTGAGGCGGAAAGCCGGCGGAAAGGAGTGATTAATAAGAAGTACATGATATCCAGAAACAAACTAGAATTTGGCAACAAAAAGATTAATCGAACATAAACATTATCGCAACTCCAAGTTCAGCAGCATGGTGCTTTATTTCTTCACTTTATTCTTTGAGCTTCTTGATGGTCATCTCACCATTTGAGCTTGGAAGGAAAGTACTGCAAATAATGATACTCACACATCAGTGGAAGCAGCGAATAGACTGTTGAAAGAAAACCAACCAAAAGTTAAATTCACCTTCTCAATGAGGGATTGATAATATGGCTTGACCTTCTCCACCTCAATCCTGACTTTACTTTTGCTGTACAGATCGTATTTGCTGAGTATAACCAGGCAAAACAGGCCATTTAGCCATATGCACTAAAATATCGAAATGAAACAAGCAAATTCAAATATCAGACAGGAAACAGAGAAAGAAGCACAAAGACATCCCTTACTTGAATATCTGGAGCCATTTCAGATTTTCAACATCCTCCTCA